TATTGTTTCATGACTGACGTGACTGTAAGGTCATATGAACATGCCCCGAGCTGGAATTTGAAATCTCGTGAAAGGACAACACAGATCGCAATGTGTTTCCTTGTAATGTCGGAGTCTGTGATATCCTAGCCTCACGCTTGGCAATAAAGAGACGTAAAATTAGACACATGTGCAACATTTGGGATCTTTAATGAGGAAACGTTTCGCCACACAGTGGCTTCATTGGTGAATACAAAGGAGAATGGTGAACAGGAAGAGTCTGAGGTAATCAGTCCCTCAGCCTTGAGTCGATGTGATCAGTCCATCAATCTTGAAAACAATACAGCATATCTGCGAAGAAGGGGCTTATATGCTGTAGGCAGGAGAGGTACAGCAGTCGTAGGTGGTATCACATTTGACGAATGTAGAAGAATTCTTCATTTCAGACGACGTTTCGCCCAGGGCTGAGATTTTCAAGGCTAGATAAAGCTCAGTCTCGAGAGAAATGTGTCCTCAACCCACTGATGGTCTTGTTGCCTCCAATCACCATTCTGGCCTCACACTTGTGCTAATACCACTTCAAGGACGAGTTCAGTTCATCTTTTAGTATACCTTTATGAAAGTGACATAAGCCATCTTGGTTAGCATAATTTGATTAATGATACTCAACATGGATTCACGAGGGACCGTTCTTGCCTAACTAATTTACTACCTTTCTTCAGTAAAGCTTTCGAGGCCGTTGATCACGATAAAGAATTGGGTATTGTTTAGATTTTAGCATGGCTTTTCATAGAGTACGACACCAGAGACTGTTAAAGAAAGTGGCAGTTCATGGCACTGAGGGAAAAGTGCTGTCATGGATAGTGTCATGGCTCACCAGAAGGAAGCATAAATGGGGTAAAATCCGATTGGAGATCTGTAACAAGTGGCGTTCCACATGGATCAGTTTTAGGCCCATTGTTGTTTATAATACATATCAATGACCTTGACGAGGGAATTACTAGTGATATGAGTAAATTCGCTGATGACACAAAGAATAGTAGGATAGTCGATTCAGACATCGATGCTATGAGTAGGTGTGTGGGTGTGAGTTGGACCTGACTAGCTTGGGCTAATAGGTCTGATGCCGTGCTCTTTCCTTAAGTGGATGTGACCTGACCTGACCTTACTAGGTGGGTCATTGGTTTAAGCCGGGAGGTAACTTGGACCTGGCTCGCATGGGCCGGTAGGCCTGCTGCAGTGTTCCTTCTTTCTTATGTTCTTATGTTTTTATAACTGATATAAAGAAATTCGGAGGGGAAATTACTTTTTACCATTAACCTTTGAATCAAGAGGCGGGAAAACTTTTCAACCTTTTAAATGGGCTCACTGCCAGCTAGTCAGTGTGAGTGATAGGGAACAAAAAGGCGCAATACCGTGATGCAGTTCCTCTTGAGAACACAATGGTAGTAACATTTATGACTTCAAGGAGGTATCTAGAAACCACAATATAATCTTATTATAATAAAGACCATGCTATGTCTCATAAATGCAGATAGAAGGCTTGTTGTTCTCAAATGAATTTGTATCCATCCTATAGTAAGGAGACCACAACTGAGCGGCATAATCCAAATGAGGCTTCACTAGTGATGTATAGAGCTGTAAAATAACTTTTGGACTTCTGTTACTTATACTTCTTGAAATAAATCCTAGTAATCTGTTAGCCTTATTGCGCACACCCAGGCACTGTTGTCTTGGCTTTAGATTTCTGCTTATCATGACTCCCGTCTTTTCACATTCTGTATGATCAAGCTTTACTTCACCTAGTTTATAACTTCGAGGGTTATTTTCATTCCCAAGGACTAGGACTTTACACTTGTCCACACTGAACTTTATCTGCCACTTTTCAGACCAAGACATTAACTTCTAATAATATCAGCTATAATTGATTATAATTTGCCTACTGTAGACGTCAGGCTTATTGAACGGTAATTTAATTGAATGGACTTATTCCCTGATTTTAATAAAGAAACTACATTAGCTATCTTCCACATCTCTGGCACAACACCAGCTAGGTGTTGTCCCAGAGAAAAACTTCAAGGACTCGAGAAAAATAAAATGGCTATCCACAAAGCACTGCCCATCCCTGTTGATGCTGCAAGTATTGATAGTAGAGGGCAACTCCGTCACGTTAACTGGTCTAAGGCAGGTGGTTGAGGGCTTTATCTAAAATTTTGCAATAGAAATTGAAAGTAGAATTCGAAGAAAGAAAAGTAGATTTTGTGGTTTATAAGCCATTGTTAGTTTTAGATAGACATGTCATCCTACCCATCAAAACCTATGAGCGTCAGCGTAGAGTAAAATATATTGCATATACGGATTTATAAAAACACTATTACGTTGTTACAGGGAGACAATTAGGATGAAATTATTATTCAACAATATTGTCTAAATTATCTATAATTCGAGAACACCCATGTTTATATCACTGGGGAGCAGACGTGAATATTCTTGCCTACTTAACTTTGTGATCAATCAGCGCAAAAGGAAAATCCAAGTACAGTGGTAACTTCGGTGTTCGAACGTCCCGGACCTCAAACAAACTGGAAACCAAACAATTTTGCTCATAAAAATGACCCTGTCTTTGAACGGTTTTCTGAAGTCCGAACGCGCTGACTTGATCAAAATTCAGCTGAAAAAAAACTTTACGTGGAACCCCTGTTTTAAGAGTACCTTGAAGTGACTTCTGACACTGATCTGACTGAATTTTGGAAGAGTCAGTTCAACATCCTCCAGTGTATGAGGCTGATAAAGCCTGGGAAACTGTTATGACATCGAACGTTTTGCAGTTAACATATGACACTGAGCTTGACTCTATCATCATTACTGATTCTAATAACATGCTCATTGGAGAATCTAGGTATAGTTACTCAAAAATCCGGGAAAAAGGAATTAATGTACTATTGTTATGGATCCCATCACACATTTGATTACTCATTCAGGATAAAGTTGATACGTTAGCCCTGAAGGATAATGTAGAATATAACAATGGTGTATCTCTGTCTAGCATTAGGAATAATATTAGGAGAGAAGTAAATAATGAAACTGAATCTATAGCCCACTATACCGTGAACGTAGATAAGTACGCTTATGGAGCAACTTGCAATGTGAACAGACTGACTGATGTTGTAGTAGCCAGGCTTAGGCTTGGTTACAAGTACTTCTGGCAGTTTGAGAGAGACACAGATGATGATCAAACCAAATGCAAAGTATGTGGCTAGCCCAATGGTCACAATCTTGAGCACTATGTGCTTAATTGTCCACTTGTTTAGAAATGTAGCGATAGTATAATAACCTATGTGACATGTCAAGATGTGTTATTAATGAAAATAAGGTACCAGATATATTATGCAAATTTCCTAAATTTGCTTGTAAGGAGTTAATCTTTTTGGGGGCCTAGGAACTAGGCCCCAAAAGGATTAGCTCCTGTTAATCCTTTTAGGGCCTAGTCCCTAGGTCTTCTGTGTATCCATGTGCTCTTTCGCTACCATCCATGGGCTGGATATGGGTGCACTATAAACTAGCCTTTTTAGTGACAAAATCTAAAAAAAAAAAAATCTAGGAACCAATTAAGTTCAAATATCGAAGTTACACTGTAAATGCGGATGACAGTGGTAAATTTCTGATATATGAGTGTTGAAATGGAAAAGCACAGAGGCTGCATATGACACCCTCATTGCTGCACAGTTTCTGACTGGTTGAGAAACCATTTCAAGAAAGACAAAGGTTCTGCAATAACTATTAAAAATTGCCAACAACTACACCTTAAATTAATGTCTGCTGCCTTCACATATGTGTTAGGGTGAAATATTTATGATTCACCATCAGTGCCTCCAAATGCAATTCTCTCTCTAATTGAGACAGCATCTCTCGGAAGGGAAAGATTCGAACCCATGGGAAGCAAGTCTTAAAACAAACAAGCAAGGGCTCTAACTACTATACCAAGCTACTTAATTAGAGTCTTCTAAACATGCATATTACTGTATACCAGGAAGAATAGCATGGACGCCACTGAGACCACAAAAGCAGCTTTTACAGAAAAATCTCAGACCAAATGGCTGTTGCAAGATCTTCAGATTCCTCCCTTGCCAGGAAATAAACACAAATGTAGATAAGAATTTTGAGACTTTTCACATGTGGACAGGCCTGATTAGCCAAGAAGAATCACGTTCACAGTTGAAGCATTGACTGGACAAAATAAATAACGACTGTCACGATCACTCTAGCTGAATAAATCAGTGTACAATCTGTACAAAATGTGACATCAGTAGAAAAATATAAAAGAAAACGTCGAGCAAAAAGAGAATGTAGAAGACTCCGAAGAAGAAAAGTTACTGCATCTCCCAAAAGCCCACAAATGCCACAACAAAAGAAACAAAACTTTCACAAAATTTACAAAGAGCAAAACCACTCTCACCAGACGGAAGAAGTACAAAGGAACAAAAAGCCATTCCAGAAATAGAGAAAACCACGACGATATTGCAGCATCCAAAATCCAAATAAAGACTTAAAAAAATCTTAAATCATAACCAAAACATATTGAGGACGTCACAGGTATTAACTAAATCTTAAATATAATTTAGGAACTCGTGACCATGAATCCAGTCGATGCCAGGAGGGAAGAAAACAGTGAACTCTGTTTGTATACTGCGAATTATATAATATAAAAAATTAAAGAATTTGTACTTCCAAGAGTGTTGAAGGGCTCTTCATCCAAGTAATTGGAAAAAACCATCCCTTTTTTAGATCAATCCTGATTACTTCCCATTCTCCAAGAGCTGTTTGAACAATGCGGGATAGCGCTAACCAATAAATATAATGATAATAATCAGCATCACGGTTATACTCTTGGAACATTGTAGCGTAAACACTGACTGGGTTTGTACTTGGCAGAAAGTGTTAGTTTCGAGCGAGATCTGAATAAATTTAGCAGAAGTTTACCTAAATTCGCTGAAAGAGGGAGCTTAAATTTGATAACTTACCAGTTTTGGGGAATGATACGAACTTCAGGACTCAAGTGAGCACGGCTTCAGAGCAGGAAGTTTATAACCGGTAGATCACCAGCTCAAAATGCCGAAGTCACTGCAAGAAAATAAAACACATGTTGTAGACATGAATTTCACAAAAGAGTATTTGACCAATGTAACCTGGGTGATAATTTAAAAATAAAATAACAAAAACAGGCAAAGTAGGGAAAGGGAGACATTTTAATTTTAAGTACTGCAGTAACTAATTAGATGAGCAGCAGACATGGTAAATGTTATCAAATATCTCAGTGAAAAAAATATGCAGTAAAGGTACATCAAGAAATAAATGAGTTGGTATCATTGGTTCAGGATTCACCTATAATCTTCTTTCCAATTTAAGAGATAATAATAGGCACCTAATTTTTTCAAGAAAAATTGGTCAAGTTCGTGAATTAAATGCCTTTTCAACTGAGTTGTGGTGTTTAAGTCTGACTTTATGTACAGAACATAAAGAGTGGATTAAGGAAGTGTGGAAGCAAATTAGTGGAGAGAGAAGTGTGAACGTGAGGTGTGAAGGTGAGAGATGATCCCTCGGAAGTTGTAGGTTAATAAAAGTCAAGTGCTCTTGCTGGAGCAATTAACATTAACATACTTTAAAAAGGAAACATTTGGCAGTAAATTGTCAAGTTGCTCCTCAATAACGTGGTCCAGGACTGACCGGAACGCCTCAAACGTTTCCTCTCCAAAGTGTGGGTAAGTTGTGAATAGCTGCACAGTCATTGGAGTTAAGCCTTGGATAACAGTAGGGGTATATTACCTTTATTTATGACGAATAATGATACATGCTCTCCCGTCCCCCAAACGCACACAGTTAAACGCGTAACTGCAAATATGTAAAAATACCACTGTGAAAATAGGAAATAAAACATGATCGCTTTCATGTGTTTACACACACACATCTTCCTCTGAAGATATATATAAGCACATGAAAGCGCTCTGGTTTTATTTCCCATTTTCACTGATATTTTTACACACAAATATATATAATATAATTATTGGCTATTAAGTATATGCTAATATGTTACATAAGATTTTTTTAAATGATTGTACCTTACCCTAACCTGGTACGGCAATGTAGCTAGTTACACTCCTAGGCTGGGGCTCTGGTCTTCTCAAACTTGATTTTTTTCTGGTGAGGGAATGATCACCTCATACCTACATCACTATTACTTCAGTTATCTCCTTTGTGTTTTGACAGAGGAATCCTGATGATTATGTGAAAGGTGTCGTCAGGAACGTTGACAAACTGTTGCACACGAGTCTACTCATCAACGGTATTCTGTAACATTAAAATAATGATGCTCATCACTGCTCCCTCATTATTCTGTGTCATTGTTGCTGCTTCATCACTGTTTCTTCATCACTGCTACCTCATCACTGTTTCTTCATCACTGATGCCTCATCACTGATGCCTCATCACTGCTGCCTCATCACTGCTGCCTCATCACTGCCGCCTCATCACTGCTGCCTCTTCACTGCTGCCTCATCACTGCTGCCTCATCACTGATGCCTCATCACTGCTGCCTCATCACTGATGCCTCATCACTGCCGCCTCATCACTGCTGCCTCATCACTGCTGCCTCTTCACTGCTGCCTCATCACTGCTGCCTCATCACTGCTGCCTCATCAATGCTACCTCATTACTGCTACCTCATTACTGCTGCCTCATCAATGTTACCTCATCACTGCTGCCTCATCGCTGTTTCCTCGTCACTGCTGCTTCATCCCTGTTGCCTCATCACTGCTGCTTCATCACTGCTGCCTCATCACCGCTGCCTCATCACTGCTGCCTCATCACCGCTGCCTCATCACTGCTGCCTCATCACTGCTGCCTCATCAATGCTACCTCATTACTGCTACCTCATTACTGCTGCCTCATCAATGTCACCTCATCACTGCTGCCTCATCGCTGTTTCCTCGTCACTGCTGCTTCATCCCTGTTGCCTCATCACTGCTGCTTCATCACTGCTGCTTCATCACTGCTGCCTCATCACTGCTGCCTCATCACTGTTACCTCATTACTGCTGCCTCATCACTGTTGTCTCATCACTGTTGTCTCATCACTGCTGCCTCATCACTACTGCCTCATCACTGTTGTCTCATCACTGTTGTCTCATCACTGTTGTCTCATCACCGCTGCCTCATCACTGCTGCTTCATCACTGCTGCTTCATCACTGCTGCTTCATCACTGCTGCCTCATCACTGTTACCTCATCACTGCTGCCTCATCACTGTTGTCTCATCACTGTTGCCTCATCACTGTTGCCTCATCACTGCTGCCTCATCACTGCTGCCTCATCACTGTTGCCTCATCGCTGCTGCCTCATCACTGTTGCCTCATCACTGTTGTCTCATCACTGCTGCCTCATCACTGATGCCTCGTCACTGATGCCTCATCACTGTTGTCTCATCACTGCTGCCTCATCACTGTTGCCTCATCGCTGCTGCCTCATCACTGTTGCCTCATCACTGTTGTCTCATCACTGCTGCCTCATCACTGATGCCTCGTCACTGATGCCTCATCACTGTTGCCTCATCGCTGCTGCCTCATCACTGTTGCCTCATCACTGTTGTCTCATCACTGCTGCCTCATCACTGATGCCTCGTCACTGATGCCTCATCACTATTGTCTCATCACTGCTGCCTCGTCACTGCTGCCTCATCACTGTTGCCTCATCACTGCTGCCTCGTCACTGTTGCCTCATCACTGTTGCCTCGTCACTGCTGCCTCATCACTGCTGCCTCATCACTGCTGCCTCATCACTGTTGCCTCATCACTGCTGCCTCATCACTGTTGCCTCATCACTGCTGCCTCATCACTGCTGCCTCGTCACTGTTGCCTCATCACTGCTGCCTCATCACTGTTGCCTCATCACTGCTGCCTCATCACTGCTGCCTCGTCACTGTTGCCTCATCACTGCTGCCTCATCACTGTTGCCTCATCACTGCTGTCTCATCACTGCTGCCTCGTCACTGTTGCCTCATCACTGCTGCCTCATCACTGCTGCCTCGTCACTGTTGCCTCATCACTGTTGCCTCATCAGTGTTTGTTGCTCTTTATTGGCTCATAAAACACAATTTATATTGGCCCAAAAATGTATGTTCAAAAATATTTTGTATTTAAAAGTGATATATAATGTATTTAATGTGTGTGTGTGTGTGTGTGTGTGTGTGTGTGTGTGTGTGTGTGTGTGTGTGTGTGTGTCTGTCTGTCTGTCTGTCTGTCTGTGTTCACGTGTGTATGTTGTTTGCGTTTACTAACCAATATGTGTTTGCATGGCTCGAGTCTTAGCTCCTGGCCCCGTCTCTCAACTGCCGTTTGCTAGATTCTCAGCCACATGAACCTTGTAGTACCTACCTTCACCGCTTGCTCGCCGAGGCCATTCCACTTCCCCACTTCCCAGAAACTGAATAAGAACTTCCTGACATTCCTGTGGTTTATTTGTATCTTGAGCTTTCATCTGTATTCATGAATACCTGATAGTAGCTTTGCCCTACCCGTATGGGCCCTTCTGGCCACCCTAGCAAGTGTGTCCACAATTGCTCTGTTGCTCTCATCATACTCTTGTCTTGGCATCCTGCTGTTCTGTGGTGGGTTGTACATCGCTGCAATCACCACCCTGGGACCCCCCCCCCATCCAGCCTGAAGTGTTCCTATTATGTAATCCCTTGCTTTCCTTCGGTTCATCCTTACCATCTCTTCAGAACTCCACTGGTTCTTGGTGAGCAGTGCAACTCATTCTTTCCGCTCTGTTCCCTCTATCTTTCCTCAGGATCCGATATTCGGATAGATAGATCGCATCTGTTATCCCCACGAGCTTTGTTTCCGTGAGTGCTACGTTGTCTGGAAATGCCTCCATGATTCTTTCGTGCCACTCCTCACATTTATATGTTATTCCATCTGCGTTTCTGAACCAATAATTCAACTTCTTTTCCAACACTGTGTTCTGCGGGTTTCTGGGAGCTGGGGGAGTGACATACCTGGCAGGGTATTATAGGAGGCGACTTTGAAGGTGGGGTTGTGATGAAGGGGTGTGGGCTGTGGGCGCAGTGTGGGTTGTTTTGCTTCAATATACACAAATAACCCGCGCAAAGAAGAGAGGAGCTTACGACGACGTTTCGGTCCGACTTGGACCATTTGCAAAGTCACACTGTGACTTTGTAGGCATACTTCATTAGCTTCACATCGTCTGCAAATAGGAACACCTCTGAATCTATCCCCTGTCTCTTGTCATTCACGCATACTAGACAGAGTACCAGACCTAGGACTGATCTTTGTGGATCCCCACTCTCCACATGCACCCACTGACACCACGTCACGTACCAACACGTCGTTTCCTTCCTGTCAGGTATTCTCTGATCCACTGCACTACTCTCCCTGCTATTTCTGCATGTTCCGCTAGCTTTTCAACCAGTCTTTTACGCGGTACTGTATCGAAAGTCTTTTTACAGTCCAAAAAGATGCAGTCTAATGTGACTTTGTAAATGGTCCAAGTCGGACCGAAACGTCGTCGTAAACTTCTCTTTTATGTGCGGGTTATTTGTGAATCATTCATCTCTCTCCTGTTTTACTTCTGTTACTGTATCGTAGAACTACAGTATGTTATGCAGGATTTCCTTCCCCTGAAACCATGCTGGTTGTCATGTATCTGTATTGCTCCCTCCCTAAGGACCCACGGAGAGGTGTTATCTGGGTCCGCCGCCTTCTAGATATCTAATTCACCTAGCAGATTCTTCACCTCCTGCTCGGTTGTGTGCAGTGCGTCCAGCACTTGCTGGTGCGCGCTACTCTGTTTCCTGGAAGCCTTTCTTTCTCCACTGTTAATACCTCTCTGAATCTTAAGCTGAGCTCCTCACATACTTCCTTGTCGTTCCCCTGCTTCCTTCCTCAGCCTGATCACCTGGTCCTTGACTGGTGTGTGTGTGTATATACATATATAATATATATATATATATATTATATATATATATATATATATATTATATATATATATATATATTTATTTTATTTTTTATTATCACACACGGCCGATTCCCACCAAGGCAGGGTGGCCC